CCGATTCCAAATCGGAATCAAGTTGGAAGTCTCTGAGATCCTGATCTCTGATCAAGAATAAATATCCCATAGTGCGCTGGAGACTTATCCATTTCGAGTGGCTTCAGTGTTAAGCAAGAATGAAAGATCAACGATTATTTAAGGCACGCCGAGTACACTTCTGCAGTCCTCAGTACAATTGAGTACTTTTATTTCTTATGATAAAATTGTTCAAGCTTATAATAAAATTGAAAAGACGTCAGTTTTTTACTACATTCTGCAGTCATATTTAAAGTTCAACTTAAACTACATATTTGTAACTGTTACCCACTAAAGCTATAAATTACAGTTGACCTCTGGCCTCTAATTAAAGTTCCAAGCTTTGCTTAAGCATTGATTAGTATTTTTAATACTTAATACTTAAGTGGTTGATTTTTTCCGAACTCAACTTTTAAGTTGACTTTATTTTATTTCATTTAAAAAGTTTGCTTAAAAAATCTTTAACTACATGCTCAAAGTTACAAGCAACCCCCTCCAGTATCTCCTCCCCACCGATCCCTTCGGCAATTGCTTGTTTGCAGCAAGTGCAGCTGTGCAACTGTTGCCGCCGCTGTGGCAGCAACGAGAAACAGGCGACTAGAAAGAAAGCGCAAGCTGAAAGCTGCACAACAAAATACACACATACAAAGAGGAGGGGGAGGGGTTGGGGGTGTGTGTGTGTCTCGGAAAGAAAGCCAAAACCGGTGCAAATAGTTGGCTTATTGCTATCTTTCGCTCTCTCTGTCTGTCTGTCAGTCTCCATGTCTGTCTTTGCAATTGTGCATTGTGCCACATGCAACACAAGCCACACAAGCAAGCAAAAACATAAATTTGCCACTAATCGCGACAGCTGAGCGCCTGTTACGCAGCCACAGACAAACACCTGGAATGGGGCATACAATTTCAGGGATATGGGATATGGGATATCGGGGAATCAACGCAATGGGAATCGAAACGTATACACAGAAAAAAAACCAAATAAAATACTGACTATAGAGATTCCCTATAGCTAATGCAGATGTTGCATATATTCGCATTGAGTCATCAATGCTTACTCATAGCTCGCAACACCTGCAGCAAGCTAAGCATTTTACATCTTTAAGATGCAACGTTTATAAATATCAAGTAAATCCACTGAGAAGAAACCTACCTAAATATATTATTTATTTATGATGTGTAGGGTATTCAAAATTTACATATACTTCTCAAAAAATTATATTTATTTAGATTTTGTCTCTAGAACTTAGATTGCTTTTTATATGATATATGATATAAGATATAATTATAATACTATTTACTATTTAGATTTTAATTGAGATACTATATTTTAATCTCTCTGATAAATGAGATACAGCTCTTTGTGCAGCCCTATAATGCGACTATATACGATTGTCTCCCGAGTTTCTCCATAATATATGAAGACTTGTACCCAAATTTTTAGTTTACCTAGCTAGTATAGTCACTGAAATCAGCTTGATAGTACAGCTGGATATGACTAAATCAACTCTGCTATCGATGCTGATCAAGAATATATATACTCTATGGGGTTGTACATTTGTACATACATCAGCACAACTTTATACACTTTTTACACATATTTTTAATGGTTTCTGGAGGGTATAAAAAAGGCATTTGCCAATTTTCAACTGCAGCTTTTGCTAAGGGCTGTCTTCTGTTTCAAAAGGGGTTGTTTTATATAAGGTTCGTCTTGCATATTGAGCAAACGACGGGGTTCAATGCGCGCACTGTCCCAAAACTGTGGGAGAGACGGACAGACAGACAGACAATAACAGCGAGGCTGTTAAGCTTTGCCAAACCTGTTTGCTTGGCCAGAAGCAGGCAGAGTTAAGCTGAGCAGAACAGAGCTGAGCTGAGCAGAGCAGCATTGACCTCAAGACTGAGTCAACGACAAAATATGCCACAGAGTCCGGCTAGCAGCAGCAGGGATCAGATTCAGATCAGGCAATCGAAATAATGCAGAACATGGTGCGAAATATTTAATACCAAAAAAATGCCTGTGCCCCAAAAGCTGATGGCCAAAAAGAGCAAGAGGCTATTGCAAGTTTTGCTGTTGTTGTTGTTGCAACTGCAAGGGAAACCAGTTTAAAGTTAACTACGACTCTTTAACTCTTCTACCTCTCTCTCTCTCTCTATTTCTCTCTCCAGCTGTACCACCTACATTTGTTGGCCTAAACCTAAGCCCAACTCGATCTTAGCCAGCTTAATTGGGTCATTCACTTGCTCGACAAAACAAACACACACAAAAAAAAAACTTTTTGAGGCACAGCAACTTCCGGTAAGAGACAACAACAAAGAAGAAGACACAACAAAAGAGAGCCCAAGTGTTAGGTAGATATACAGTAAAAGACAGAGAGAAAGAGAGAAGGGAAAGAGAGGGCACCAGCGAGCGCTCGATTGTTGTGGAAACAACTCGAAACTCGAGTTGAAATCTTTGATCTATAAATGCGAGTACTAAATACAATAACTGTTTTTCTGTTATACTTATACAAAATATAATACATAAATAATATAATAATAAGTGTTCGCTATTTTCCTCAATTTTTGTTTATTCAGATCTTTAATCTATACATTAAGGGTTTCAAGTACTTTATCCTTTCAAAACTTATAACTGTCATCATTTTATCAAAGCCGAAACCATTTTCAAATTTCAAGACGATTCGTGGGCTATTTTGACCTCTAACTAAATCTGGCAATACTATATTTTGAATGTTCCACTAACATTTTCATTAAATGTTACAGCTCTGAAATACTAAATTCAATTCTTATTTTGCAACACTATTATTGGTTCCTCTTCTTACCTCTCGCTTCGCGCATTTGATTGATCTGCTTCGAAACAGTGGCTAAAATGTTAGATAGCGCTTTCTCTCCTCTCTGCCACCTCCCTCCCTCTCTGTCTCTCTCTCGCTCGCACACACACACACACACAGTTAAAAGGATCAAGCAAGGACAGCGCACACCAACAGCAGAAGCGATAGAGGGCAAAACGCAAAGGCAAATAACAAAAAATAAATGTTAACCTAAGCCAAAAGGCTGAGTAAAAACTCAACCGACAACTTTTCGACTTCGACTTCGGCAAATGCTGCTGCCAGCGTCACCATCTGCGTCAGCGTCGGCAGAGTAGTCGCAGCAGCATATCCATCATTCGTCGTTGTATGCAATACGAACTAAACTCCAAAAGAAAATCCAGGCAATTGTTTCTAGAGAGCAACAAGAACAAGACGAAGAAGAAGAGGCAAAACAACAACAACAACAACAAAGTGCAATCGCAAGCTGTGTTCGATTTGCGAGGGTTGCCATTAAGGTTTTTGGTTGTGGTTTTATTTGTTATAGAACTTGTTTTGTAAGAATATGTTGAATGAAATCTTCTAATGGTTTATTGTTCTTTAGTTTTCATGAACTCTTAGAGCTGCCCTCGCACTAATTGATAATCGCCAGTCGCTGTGCTTATTGTTAGAGTTAGAGTATTCCAACACTTAAACTGGTCTGCGGCTTGATCTATTTTTAGTTCAGTTTCAAGGCGCTCAAAAAAGCTCTTTCAAAAAACGGAGAAAACAAAGCGCTCCGCAAATCGGAGCGACAATTAATGCAAAGTATTTATTTAATGGCCGATGCCTTTGATTAGAAGCTTTGTCCACCCACACGCACACGCACACACACACACACATACGCATATACGCAATAAGTAATGAGAATAATAGTAAGAAGAAGCTGTGTCACTTACCAAAGAATATGATTATTATTATTATTTGAAGTGCTGCGCTTTGCGATAATCCAATTTGATCACTTTTTTCGTTTCATTAGTTTGTTATTTCAATTTGAGAGCGACGCGTACGTAAAAAAAACAACAACTACAATGACAAAATTTTATTAGATTGCAAACAGAAAAACAACAACAGCAAGCAGATGAAGAGGAAGAGCAGCACGGAAATCAGTTCAAAATTGTATGTGTGTGTGTGTAAAAATCAAAACAAAACACGACAAAAACACACACACGCAGCAACACATAGCGGCAACTGAGAGAGTTGCGAGCATAGGCACCGAGAGCGAGAGAGAGAAAAAGTGCGAGCACGTAAGCGAGTGAGTGAGAGCGAAAGAGAGAGGGAGAGAGCGCGCAATGCGAAGAGCAAATCATAAAAAGAACAACAAAAAATTAAGTTGTGATCGTTGTTGTTGTTTCTGTAGTAGTTGTTGTTGTTGCTATTATTATTATTGCTGTTGTTGGCTTTTGTTTTGACTGGTGCAACATGTTGAATGTTGCACCCAAACACAAAACACACACACACATAGACGAGACTGGCCCTAACGGTAAAATGTAAAAAGAACTTGGGTTATGCTTATATGCATGTGAATGTATTTTTGTACATGTTGCAGATCTATGAAAAATATTAATTAATTAAATCAGCTTTGCAGTTTTTCACATGGCACATTTTTGTTGCACGCACAAAAAGGACGCAGCCAAAAATTTATGTATATATTATTTTTTTTTTTTATTCTTTTTTTTTTGCTTACACTAAATTGTTAAGCACATACACGCACTGTTGTTGTTATTTTTGTTGCTGTTGTTTGTTTACTATTCAATTCGGTTTGTTGGCGTACGAAAAACACCACAAAATATGGTATGAAAAACACCGCGTGCATGCTCTGCCTGCAACAGAAAAAAAAGCGGTACTAACTGATGATGCGGTGTGACCGTAGGCGCTTTAGCGTAAAAATGTCGGTAGTTGTGTGTAAAATATGAGCAAGCTAGGCAGTGCTGTAAAGTGACAACAGAGAATGATCGAATTACCTATACAGTGTTTCTATAACATTATTCAGACAAATACATATAAACTAGAAACTAATAATTAAATAAAACTAGTAATTCATTTATACTTACACATATTTGCTTATATTGACGCTTATAAACGCGATCGCTATCGATCTGCAAAAATACCAAAATTCCGTGACAGTCTGGCAGCTCAATCAGCTGTTGAAAATTTCACACTTTTTATTTACTTTTTGTTTTGGTTTACGGTTTTCTATGTTTACAATAAATTGAACATCTTTAATTCTACAATGAACGAAAATTGGCCCATGCTCGATGCGAAAACCCAAGAAACCGAGCGGAAAAATGAGGAACAAAATGGGCCAAAATTAAACGCGGAATTTGCTGGTTTTGATTCGAGTGCTGGAAATAATTGGATTTATCCGAGTAATTTGCCAATGCGTAGCTATCAACACAATATTGTGCAACCAGCATTGTATAAAAACACATTGGTTGTGCTGCCCACTGGGCTGGGCAAGACATTTATTGCATCGGTTGTGATGTACAATTTGCATCGCTGGTTTCCCCGAAGCAAGTTGATTTTTATGGCGCCAACGCGTCCTTTGGTCGCCCAACAGATTGCCGCCTGCCACAAAATAATGCCACTGCCAGCGTCGGATGTTGTGGAGCTAACGGGTCGCTTGCCACGCGCCAAACGTGCCGAACTGTGGCGCAGCAAGCGGGTCTTCTTTGCCACGCCGCAAGTGGTGCAATCGGATATGTTGGAGCAGCAGGAACAAGCAGATGGCTTCCAGTTTCCCTACGAGGACATCAAGTTGCTCGTCGTGGATGAGGCGCATCGGGCCAAGGGGCGATATGCTTACACGCAGGTGATTAAGCGAGATATCTCTCCGATTGATTGTTTGATTGATTGATTGACTTGCGTTGGGGACAAAATAATAGCATGAAAAATGATGCTATTATTTGTTTCCTTAAATTGTTGCCCCTTATATACACTAAAACAATCCTCGCCAGGTCACTGAATCGCTAATGGCCCGAAATCCGCATTTTCGGATGCTGGCTTTATCTGCGACGCCCGGACGGACAATGGAGGATGTGGCTGCGGTGTGCAGGAATTTGTATATCTCGCATTTGGAGGTGCGCTGCGATGATTCGATCGATGTGCGTCCCTATGTCCATCATCGTAGTCTGGACACAATTGTTGTGCCTCTGGCGGATCGGATAAAGGAGCCACGTGAGCGTCTCCTACAAATCATAGATCCCTATTTGCGTCAACTAATCGCAGCGGATGTGCTGAAGGGTGCCAGGGGCAAGATTTCAAGGAATAATCTGCTCTACGATCAGGCCAGGTTTATGGAGCGTGCCGCCACCGAATCCCGACGCCATCCGGAGCATAGCGAGATTGTTGGCAACTTTGCCATGTGCATCAGTTTGTATTATGCGCTGGAGCTGCTGGAGCGACACGGACTCCGTGTGTTTGTCAATAATTTCGAGGCGGATGACAAGGGACACGAAAAGCTCGTGTTGCGAGATGCGGCGCTCAGGGATCTGGTGGAGCAGGTGCGTCAAGAACTGGGTGCAAATCCACTGGATCATTCCACACACACCATGACCAATGGACAAGTGGCACCAATGCCTGCCACACTCGATTTTGGACATCCCAAATATGAGCAGGCGCGCCAAGTACTGCTCCAGCATTTCGAGGTGAGCTGCACAAACTATAATATATATAATACATACATCATTCCTAATTCCTTTTGCAGTCGCAGTCGGAATCGCGTGCCATTGTTTTCTGTGAATATCGTGAATCGGTGATGCTGATTCAACGTTTACTGCTCCAGCATCGTCCGCTGCTGCGTCCTCGCTGCTTTGTGGGTCAGAGCAGCAACGGGGTGGGAATTTGTGCGCTGACGCAAAAGGAACAGCTGCAAGTTATGGGGGACTTTCGTGGGGGCATCTGCAATGTGCTGGTGGCCACCTCCATTGCCGAGGAAGGACTCGATGTGGGCGAGGTCGATTTAATTGTCTGCTTCGACATTAGCAGCTCGAATCCGACGCGCTTTGTGCAACGGATTGGACGCACTGGCCGCAAGAAACAGGGTGCGGTCGTCATGTTGGTCACCGAGGGACGCGAGCAGCAGCTGCTCAAGGAGGTGCTGGCGAGCAGGGATCAGACGAATCGCAAACTGCACACATCGACCCTAATTAAGGCATCGCTTTATCCACACGCGCCACGCTTGGTGCCCCCCCAATTTCACCCGCGTTGCGAGCAGCGTTTCATGGAAGCTGCAACTCCGGCCAAGTCCAAGACTCCCTCGCCCATGGTCAAGGGACGCAAGCAGCCTGTGCGCTGCCATGATTTGCGTAAATATTTTAAGCCGAGTCAGGATCGTTTTCAGCAAGATCAGCCTGCCTACAAACCGAGTGAGGCAACACAGCAAATGTTGCAAGAAAGGATGGCGCAAAAACCTATGACAATTGACAACTTTCTGCAGAGCACGCCAGTTGCAGCAGCACCAGCAGCATCAGCTGCTCCAATCCCAGTCCTGGAGGAGTCGCAACGTCTGCGAAAGCTGCAAGGTTTGTTGCATGCCACCAAGCCATTGATTAGCGAAGCGCAGTGCAGCCAGGAGCTAGTTGCACAGCTGCAGGACAAACAGTTGCCACAGCCACTCAAATATTATCTGCTCGAATGCAATGTGCCATTTGTGCGGGAAACGCATGCGAAGATGCAATGCCAACAGCAGCTGCAACTTGCCGAGGCACGTTTGAATACGCGGCAACAACGCACCCGTCGCAGCTACGAACTGTTGCAGGATGTGTGCCAAGGTCAGCTGGAGCAGCTGCTCCAAACCGAAACCAACTCGGCGGAACTAAACTTCAAGGATCTGCAGATGACGAGGACGACGAGGAATCAGTCTGCCCTCTTTGAGGATATTTTTAAGGATCTGCCGGATCGCGGTTTGTGTGTGGACAACCATGAGCTGTTGCAACAGGAATTGGAGCAACTGGAAGAGCGTCAATTGGAGCTGACAATCAGAAACTGGGAGCAATTGAACAATGAAATGTTCGAGGATTCCTGGGATGAGGATGAAATGGAAACCCTGCTCGACGAATCCTGCAAGGAAAACTCTTCACTCTCTCAGAGCCAGTGGCAGGATAACAAAACCGTGGACAGCTCGACACCGTTGCGGCAAGTGAAGCAGGAGCCAACACCTGGCCTGGAATCCAATTTGAATCGCCCCAACTGCCTCTTGGCTGAGCTGGATGAGGATCTGTCTGTTTTTGAGGAATTAGTAGAGCAACCAGAGGAGAATCTCGATCTTGATCTCAATGATTTTCTAGAGCCACTGCCTGAGGAGCAGCTGCTCCAAAGGACGCCCCCCAAAAATGAGCCACGCAATTTGTCGCCCGATCTCTTTGCGGATGAGTCCAGCTCACCATGGAAACCGAAGGCACCTGAAACGCCTGCCAGCAAGCAGGAGGTAGCTCAATCCCCGCAGCGTGCAGCGGGCAGCCAAGCTGCTGTCCTGGAGCGTTCGCCTAGCATATTCGAGAGCTATTTGCGTGGCATGCGTGGACGTGGCCAGCTGTCCAAGGAGGCGCAACGCATACATCAAATGACCAGCTTGGCTACTGTTAAGCAGGTGGAGCAGGAGCAGGAGCAGGCGCAGGAGGAGCACGAGCAGGACTCACCAATTGTGCGCCGGCGGTCAGCCAAGCGCAAAATCTACGACATCTCCGATGACGAAGACGAGCAGGTACCTGAGCTAGAGCAGGATGTGCTCTGCACACAGCTCCCGGCTGATTATAGCTTTGAAGAGGTGCCCGCCACGCAGCTGGTAAGTGCCAGGATTACGCTCCCATATTCAAGCAACTAAAACTCTTTCCTTTTCAGCCGCCTACACGCAATCGTTGCAAGCGTCGAAAATGCAATCCTTTTGTGCTGCAGGAGGCGGCACAAAGTGGCTCAGATGACGACGGGGATGAGGAGGCGGAAGACACAATTGGCGCCTACCTCAAGGACTCTGTGATCGTCTCCAGCGATGATGAGGATCAGCGGCAGCAGCAGCATAATGACACCAATGCACATGCCATGTATCTGCAGGCCAGCAGGTTGGATTACACCAAGAATTGTAACTGCTCTGATAGTAATCTCTGATGGCAATCTCTTTTTTAGGAGTCCCTTGCCTCGTCCGGGCGCCTTTAAGATGCCAGCGCCGCGTTTGTTTAACGATGCCTCCATTTACTCGCAGGATGTGGAAGCGGAGCCATCACAATATTATCCCTGCTCTTTTGTGGTCAACGATGATGAGTTGAGCCAAGATCTAAGCGAGTGTCCTTTGGAGCGTGCTGAGCGTATCCTAAAGGAGCAACGCAGACAGCGACGACGTGGCCAAGTCCAAACTCCCCCAACTAATGGCAAAAGGCGACGCATTCAAATCGTCAGCGATTCCAGTGACGATGATGATGTGATCTTTGTTGATGCCTTAACTTAAGTGTGATCAGTTTGAGAGCTGTTCCCATGACTGCTTCTCTTTGTGAGTTCCTTTGAGAATGATAAAGTTGTCTTTGCTAATGCCTAATCACAAGTGTTCCCAACGGGTTTCTAAGTGCTCCCACTTCAGCTAGACAGCTGTTCCCATTGCTGCTTGTCAGTTTGAATAATGACTCGGATTTATCTCTGTTTATTTGTTATATATATAATCAATAACAAGTTAAGTTGAAGTACTTTATTTGTATCTTTTTTGTTTTAATACTTTGGTTTTGCATATTTATTTAATTTTGTGTGATTTCCCTTGAGCTGAAGCACCTATAAAAATAAGAAGATAAAATCAAACTGTAAGAAACTTTAGTAATTAAGTTAAAGTACCTTAAACCCGAACTGTGAAATTACCATAATGATATCATAATTTGTTACTGATCATAATCATATATATTTTTGATAACGTTTTTCAAAGCATTGTGCATTATTGTGTTGGGTGTTGGGAGTTGAGTTAGACATCTTAATGGCAGTATAATCGGTGAAGGCTTGAGTTCTTAAATCTGAATCAGAATATTGCAAGTTGATAACTAGAGGGTATTCGAATTTCGAAAGAGATCTCTGATCCCTTAGGGTATGTATTCTTGATAAGTATCACTAATTGAGTCTGTCGAACTTCATTTTTATATAATTTCAATAGGCTCAAAAATGTTTAGATGTTGGTAAATTTAACTCAGGTCCATGTATTCTTTGGCGTGCTTAAGAGACTCTTTTCCGATTTCTACGGACTTCGAATCAACCAGAAGATACCCTGTATCTAGCTGATAATAGTTTCCTCAATATGAAAATACTTTCGGTATAGATTTTCCGCTTACCTAGTCCTCTGCTCTTCTCCTCTCGTCTCTGCTAAACCAAATAACTTCTGGTTGGCGTCTGATAATCGCTGGCAATGGGCTTGAAGGTGGTGTTATGGCGCTGCTTGTAGAGATCCCTCGGCTGCACGTACAGCTCCTTGAAGTCTTCGCTGCTGACATGCCGGCTCATGTCTTGACCTGCACCCGATCCCTGTGCAGATCCATGACGCAGTTGCACCTCCGATTCGTAGATGTTGTCGACGAGCGCCTGACGCGACTTTGCCGTGGGTCGTCTTCTGCCCCTCTGACTCAGTGTAGGTATCGTCTTATCCAAGCGGGCACGTCGCGAGGCAATGCCCGTGCAGGTGAGTATGATGCCCAGCAGGACACTGAACTCCACTAGGGCGAGCACAAGACTGGCGGCCAAAAAGATACCATATTGCTCCCGATACCAGCCATTCAAATGCTCCAGGCACGATTCCGTGTAGCGTTCCCGCTCGTGGATAGAACGCTCCAGCGACTGGCACTGCGACTCATTGGCCGGCTGGGGATCAAGAAAGGCGAGCGGTTGTGGTGCATTGGACAGGACACAACAGCTGAGGGGCACGGCCCAGTTGCGCTGGCCATAGCCCTGCAGGCGCCACAGCGCTGTGTCATAGTCCACGGAGCTACGCATGCCACAGCAACCGAAGCGGGTCTGGGCCAAGTCCATGGCATTGGTGAACTGCTCCTGGCCGGGCACACCATAGTTGCGTTGCAGCGCCTTCACCATCTGTGCCTCATCCAGACTAATGCCCAAACAGTGGGGCCACAGTGTGATGGCCAGACAGATGACAGACTCCGCCAGCAGCAGCACCACTACGCTCAGAAAATAGATGGTGAGGAAGCAGTAGGTGTGCAAACAGCTCGCCCAGAAACCCACAACGGCGGCAACAACAGCCACAAATCCAGCGATGGCCAAACCCACAGCTATATAATAAAGCAACGGTTGGGGCAGCGAGTTCAGCTGTTCACTGGGCGCGGCCAGGAGGCGGGACAGCAAAATCCTTCTGCTATCCGTGTACAAATAACAACCGGCCACAATAAGCAGTGTGCCGCAAAGCTATGCAGAAAGAGAGAGGGAGTGGGAGAGAATATAATTATAAATAGTTGTAGTTGCATCAGTGCAAAGTAAGCAGTGCAAAAGTAAGCAGCTCAAAAACTGCCTACCCAGCAGCGAAATAACCCCATTACGAACACGATTTGTAATATATATGTACCTTGTTGGCGGTGTAGCTTTGAACGCATATTACTTTTTTTATAAGCATAAGATAGCTTCTCCACATGCTGCATTACTTTGTAATGCAAAAAGTATGCGTTGCCGAAAGCTAATCTAGGCAATGACTTACATGGCCAACTTCGAATGCAAAAAGTTGCTGCTGTCCAATTCTGAACAGAGTATGAAGACAGTCGTTTACTTTCGATGTTGCTGTGTTTCGAGGTGTGTGTGTGTGAAAAACATGTGGTCTGCACACAACACGCAACGGAAGTTGAATGCCGCCCTATCCCGCCCCACTCCCCCCACTGACTCCAGATCGCCATTTCCTCCTCCGCCCGCACTTGTTTGTTACCTGTTTAATTTTTGTTATTTTGTGGTGCCAAGCTGCGCCTGCGCGTTGGCGAAAGACTTTTTGGTCTACACGCCTCCCGCCAAGCCTCCCTCCGCCCACCAGCTCCCCATTCAAATACTTTCAACCAGCCAAGCAGAACCAAATTATAATACAACCAAAAAAAAATACGAGCAGTCAAAATGGTCTAAAATGTTGCCACAAACGAAACTCAAATGCTCTACAAAATAAATAAAGTGCGGGATATGAAGATGAAGCACAACTGTTGTCAGACTTCAAGATAAGATAACTGAAAACCCAGATCTTCATTTCAGTTCTTTGACTGTTAACTGAAGAAAAATTACGATCCCATATTGAAAATTTAGTACCTTAATTTGTTGCTTGCTTTGTGCTCTTTAAACTTGAGCACAGCAACAAAGTACAACAAAGTTGCCCGACTGTAGAAGGTCTAGATTTCACTTTAGATATCCAAAATATACAAAAAATATCTATATATATATACATATAGATATATATACTTACCAAAAATAAAAAATTGCAAAAATTGAGCACAAATTTGTGATTGAAACAGCGACCCATGTTGCGTGTTATTGTTATTGTTGTTATTATTTTGATTATTATTTGTTGTGGGGGAGTTTATGATAGCTATCAATTAGTTCACTTAATTTCGAAAACAGCACAATTGAGCGATCAGCTATTCTAAGTTCTTGACTTTTATTACATTGCAGCGGGTGAAAAGTTTATGGAAAACTGCAGCGATAGCGTTTTCAAATTTTCAATGTATTTTCCGGAAAAGCGACGCGCGCTTTGCTCGCGACTGTAAAACAATAACTGAAAAGCCTGTGGAAGCAGCAGCAGCAACTTTGTTTGCCCCAAGCTGTGGCAGGTTCAACAGACAGAGAAAGAGAGAGGGAGAGAGGGCGAGAGAGTAAGAGAGCGCTCTGAGCTCACTTTTTTGTTTTACGATTATTATGCACTCTTTGAAATTCACATTTTGCCTTTAACTCTAACACACTCACACTCCCGCTCTCTCTCTCTCTCTTTCTCTCTCCCTCTCTCTCTCTCTCTCTCTGTCTGTGGCGGCATGTCTGCAGCTGCAGTCAAATGGAACCGCTTGTAAACAATAGATCAACAACAACAACAACAACTTTGGAGCTGGACAGAACGCTGCTTGAAAAACTAGTTGGACAAGCTTATCTAACTGGGAGCGAGAGCGGCTATTAAAGTTGTGATAAGCGTTCTATTTATTTATATATTTATGTATACATACAAAATAGTTAAAATATTATGAAAATCAATTCTAAAGATAAGGCAGCATGAAGAGATGTCATAGCTACAAAACTACTATGAAAACACTGCAGTTTGATCAGCTTAAAATAATGCTAAGTACTTTTTTTCTTCCAAAAAGTCTGCTTAGGTTCCAGAAGCAATTCTTACGTCAAAATTGATATATGCAGTTAAACAGGTTTAAATAGATTTAGAAATAGACAATAAATCGTTCGATATTATAGTTTATTACTTTTGATTTAACAATTTCTATATGTTTCGGAAGCTGCCCTCGCAATAGCTTAGTTCTTTGACGACACTTTAATTGAATTTTCTTGTTGACCTGCGACTTGGAGTCTATCTCTCTCTCTCTCTCCCCCCTCTCTCTTCACCAATGTCTCTCTCTCTCTGTTTTCCACTGCCCCTCTCAATGTTCTACGCTGCCCCGTTCTCATTTTACCGTTGTGATCCACATGGCGCTGGCATTTCCGCTGCTGTTGCGCAATACGCATGCTACTTACACAAATACACACACACACACACACACACACAGATGTGTGTATAGCTGATGCCCCCGTAGGCCCATTAAATCATTCATTACTTCATTCACTCTTCAGCGATTGGGGTCAAAGCTGCTGCAACCACTTGTACATGCCCCAAAGGGTGTGTGTGGGTGGATGGGTTGCGGCAAAGATGCAAAGTAAAGCTAATCAGATGCACGCATGCACACACACATACATACACGTATATATCTTTAGAAGAAGTAGTCCAAAAATTGGGCTTTATTGGGGTTAAGAGGTGCTCTCTTGCCGAGGGGGCGTTCAATGAACTTGAACATCTTTCAAAATGCTGAGGGAGAAGAAAAACAGATTGAGCGATTCAGATTGTCACATATAAATGTATATATATGACTCACAACTTGTACCTGCCCATGGTTAATGAAACATTTTGAAAAGTTTAGTCAATTCATCCAATAGGATATCCTATCAAGTTCGTAATGATTTTTTTGTAGATCAAATGAGTGTCTGAGATTGGTTGTGAGTGCATATTTGTCCTATATGAGCAGATGTAATTTCATCAGACTATATTACAATGAATAAGCCTTTATTATAATCAATATCAAATCTTACCTTTTACAAATAATATCGACTGATTTTGTCATAGAATCATGCTCAATAAGAGTTTTCCAAAACTAAAAGCTGAAAGATTCCAGAGTCCTTAAGCTCCTCAACTAATCTGCCCAATTTTTGAGTTGCCAAGTTATTGATTTGAAGAAGGAAATATTGGGCAATAGTATTCAGATACTGGCGATTAGACAATTTTATCCTTATCTAATCTTTGTCCTTATGTCCTGGAGGAATACGCCAAATCCAATGAATAACGATGATCGATGGCAATAAGGACCAATCCATTTTAATCAAATGTATAAATTTCATCAATAAAGTATATATAAACTTGATCAGCATTAACAAGATAAAGACAATATCGCCATGGTGTCTGTCTGGCTAACATGAAAATGATAAGTAAATTAAATATTAAAGAAAAACAAGGCAAAAATCGATTGTACTTAAAAAATGTGTATAATTGTAAATAAAAAAAAACCAATTGTGTAAAAACTACTTTTAATAAAATTTCAATGGCTTTTTGTGTTGTTGTTTTTAATACATACATAACTACATAAAATCTTACAAATTTTGCTCGTATCTCATTATTTTCTTGTTTTTTTTTTTTTGGAAAAATTAAAAATACTCCACCTCGCATATGGAAATTGGAATTGTGTTTGTTGTTGTGCACACTCTCTGCTTAAATCATACATTACTATATATATATTTATGTTGTTGTTTGCTTTTTGCAGTAAGAAAAACTTGTAAAATCGGTTGTACTAAAAGAGCGCGAAGATCGGCTAAAAACCAACTCACCTCTCTATAATGTATATATATATATATGTAATTTTTGTATTTTTTTGTTTGTTTGTTTTTATATATAAACTCATCACTTTTTGTGTGTGTTGTTGTTGTTGTTGCTTTTAGTTGTCGTACAAAAGATTTGTTGCATTCGCACAGCTTTGGATTGTTGCGCAGAGACAGAGTATAAAAAAGTAGGGTTTCTTTAAACAACCAACAAAACTTGTGGCAATGGCCATCAATTTGGAGGGTGGGGTGTGTGTTGGGGGCCAATTCGGCACTAGAAATCCATTGATACATTAGAATTCCCAGACACAATCGATCCACAATTTGGCGTGGCCATAATATCAGCAGCCGCCGACTTTTCCGACGTCTCCTGCAATTCTACAAAAAAAAGACACAATTTCATTAGGCTGTTGGATAATTATTGATCCATTTACTCACCTGGTGGCAGATGCAGCTTCTCAATGACAAACTTCTTGCGTCGTAACTTAAACGCCAGATCCGTTGTCTCCGGCATGTGCACGGCGAGCGTATTCAGTGCGCTCATCTTGTGCAGATGCAACAGACCGCTGTACTCCTTGAAGGCCGGATGCGTTTCACGCTCCGAACCGGCAAACGATTCCAACTCAATCGAATAGTCAACCAGTTGACGTATCTTGGGCACCAAACTGGTATCCTAATGAGCAAAATAAACGAATACAATTTCTATAGGCTAGACAGAGGAGTACATAGATACTATAGTCCAAGTCTGGAATAGATAGGAGTTAGTCTAATGTGATTCTCAAATCAACTGATTAGACTAACTCTTATCTATCTCAATGTCTGACCAACAACTACGGACTAATCAGAATATATCTCTAACTTATCTACCTCAATGCAAGATTAAAGAATTTAGACTGCATAAAAATAGAAATATAATCTATCTAATGGTTACTCACATATTTGGCTATCAGATGCATTGGCATTGTAATGAAACAGACGGCGGTGCAGCTGCGCACACTGGCCCGCAATATGGTCAAAAACTTGAGCAAGTCACCGGCGAAGTGATCATCATACCACAACGGCGATCCCAGTGAGGTGAGGCAGACGCGGCACAGATTCTTCTGCTGCGTATTGGTGCCGGGCACGAAACTCTCGTCGCGCAGCAATTGCTGCACATCGTTGAGCAGGCGCCCATAGCGTGGATTATAAAAGAAATGGGGCTCCATTGCTGATGGTGCTGGTGGTGGTGGTGCGACTGCTGTTGGTGGTGCGACTGCTGCTGCTGGTGGTGGTGGTGGTGGAGGTGGCTGTGTGGCCGGCATAGCTATTGTTGTTCCTGGAGTTGTGCTGGCAGTATTATTGTCATTATTGTTATTGTTGTTGTTGCTGCTGCTGATGACAGCAGTGCTCTCAGCATCCGCTTCAATCTCAACATCAACTGCAACTGTTGATGCATTCTCACCAGCAGCAGCAGGAGGAGGAGTAGCATCAACAGCAGCAGGAGACGCATCAGCAACAATTGTTGCCGTCTGATCCAGCGAATTGGAAGAGTTGCTAATATTGTCCTCCTGCACAACAATGTCATGCTCCTTGTAGCTATCATCCCAGACGGTTGTCTGTGCATAGTACAACATCATCGAATCCATGTGCTCCATCAGATTGAAATGATGGCCAATTTTGTGGCCCGCCTGCTCCGAATTGACCAGCGGCAAATCGCCGTACCGGAATGCAATACGCAAACCATTTTTATCCGCTGGCTGTTCGCTGGCCAGTTGCTCCTGGCGCTGCTCCAGCTCGACTTCCTCGTCGGTCAGTGGTTTGGGCAGACGACGCAACATTTCCGCTGGCAAATCGTCCAGACTACCGAGGAATATCTCCTGCTTGGAGAGCACACCCTCGGCTAGAAAATATTTTGCCAACACCTTGGCGTGCGTCATAAAGCGATCCTCTTCTGCAATTGGGGAGCAGAAAATATCAAACAGATTCTTTTTGCACATTTGCACATTAACTGCACACACTCATACACACGCACACACAGATTGACTTACCTATGAGGCATATTGAGCCGATTGGCAGACCGCCGCCTAAAATCACATCGAGCGATGGATTGCCGCTGGAGGTGATCACCTGGGCGGTGTGGGGGCTGGTGCGGGTGCCACGGATTGGCTTTTGCACGGTCCGTTTCCGAAAACTGGTCATGTCTCAACAAATTTTCGCACGCTTGCGTTACGTTTATCAGTTCTCTCTCTTTCTTTCTTTTTTTTTTGTTTGCCGGGCACAAGAAGACTGACTGTCATCGACTCACAAATGTCCTAAATATGGCCAGCGATAACACTGCGCTGGTATTTTTGGAATTACAAATCGTGTTAAGCAGTCACATTTGTCGCCCAAATCGACCAACCGCCACGATTTATCATTGATTTACTAGTTGCATGAGCTGCTTTGTTTTTTCTTACTGTTACTTTCAAAGTGCGCTGTTAAGCGATATACAGCCACCCTCAAACTGTTGAATCCTCTTTTGCATTTTGAGCATATCTTTAAAATAAATATTTCGAATGACGTTTTTAAATGCTGATTGAGTTAATGCGAAAGCCATGTGTGGCTGGAATTCTAACAGCAGTGGTGTTCTACGTGTGCTCATACCGCCAGAACGTATTACAGAAATACTTGTTGAATGTTCTGCGATGTTATCTTCACAGCTGCTCTCAAACTGCATCACTTGTTGTTGCTGTTCGTTCAATGCTGTGCGATGTTTTTTACAAGTACCCTCAAGCTGCATGGCTATCAATGCACAGCTGCTCTCAAACAGCATTTCTAAGCTTTAAACAGACACTTCAAAACTGTTGAGTCCTTTTCAAATTTAGCCAGCTTGCTTAAAATAAATACTGATTGAATAAATGGAAAAGCGGTGTGTGGCTGCAATTGTACCTGCGTCGGTGTCCCTTTGAACAAAGCAAGCCATTTAGCAAATCAAACATCCTTCGTCCTTAAGAAACGCCCACTCGTTTCTCTCTGCTTTAAGTGAAATGATAATTGCGCAAAAGGCTGCAACTGCTGTCGTTTTAATTATAGGTTAGACCAGAAATGCCATGGTTGTAAGTGGAATAACTAGCCAAAAAGGATAATGCTGCAGAGAAGTTCAGAGGACCTCTCCAGACAAACTATTTAAAGGGTTTAGCTGCATTTTATAAGAAATTTAGCTTCAAAATATAACTGTAAAAATCACAGTGCATGGTTTCCCAGAAGCTAGAACACACAAAACACACACGCAACAAGGAGTCAGCCAAGAAATCAATAGAAAAATAGACAAAAAAAGAGAAAAGGATATGGGACGAATGATGGCGTCGGCGTCGGCGTCGACGTCGTGGGAAAGGTAAACAGTGCAAAAGGACAATAAATAATGGCCAGCACAATGCGGGACAATAATTATTGATTGCAAGGCAGACGCAGGACGAAATCAAAAAAAGAGAGTTTCGCCAAAAACGCAGTCAGCAAAAGGATTGCGTGCAACGAGTCCTGCCTCAATGCAGGACATGTTGTGTAATTTATGGTCAGCCATAAAACTGACCAGCATACCAAAGAGTAACAGCAGCTGTCTGGCTGTGCATCCTGCAGAACTCGCCACCCGCCGGTTAAAAGGATAAACGCTAAACGTTGGTCAGTATCCTTTGTCGAATCCTTTGACGCACTGCGCCCAGCGCCCTGCTTCCAATTATGAATTTATGTGGCACAGCGAATGCCATTCGATATGGCAAAAATAAGGACGATAAGGACGCAGGACGCGCAAGCGCAACAAATTTCCATGTCAGGACGAAAAGGTTGAAAAAGGCGAAAGTGTGCGGCTTGCGGCGACAAGAAATAACAACAAAAGCCACATATGGCCTAAGAAAAATAAACATGGGCTAAATAGAATAAGGACGCGTGTCCTTTTCAAACAAGTGTCAAGCGTGTGTCGCTCTCAAACTGTAGCCAGCCAATTAGCAGCAGTTGCCCTCAAACCATTTGTGGTTTTGTTAAGAGAGCTGGAGTCTTAAAATTTCGAATGAAAGTGTTCGAAAACTTTAAGCAGATCAAGTTTATTTCACGTTATCGATGACTTTTCCCGTTTTGCCAGTAACGATAAAAATCGAGAACCGACAGCAATAAAAGACACAATTTGAAATAATAATTTTAATATCTTTCTAATAGGGTAAAGATTTCATCATATATATATATATATATATATATAAATGTGTACGACTTATGCATTGATTAAGGCTTCGGTTCAGTTTGTCGCTCTTAACTTCCGTATTTCCCTTTCTCTGACATTATTCCACTCTACAAGAAATTTTAAAGAATTTGTTGGGGAGTATTTTTGGAGCAATTTTTGAAGCTCGCGATAATTGCTTTAATTTCCAAAGGCGCTCCGCTGTCCAGGTAACCCAAAGAGCTGTCCACACACATACACACACACACACACACACACACACACACTCCTACACACACACACACATAGGGAGGCAAACAGAGACTAACACGTTGCCCCCAGCTTAAAGCTAATAAACTCTGTTGAGGTACATGAAAGCGAATACCACGCAGCGAACAAGGACTCATCCCAGCTCAGAGCAACTGTAAAGTAAAAAAAAAAACAACAAAATAAATAAAAAATAAAAATAGTACACAACACAGGCTAAGAAAACTGACGAAATAACGAAAAAGAAATGAAAAATGAAAGCCCACTTTTCTTTTCATTAGAAGAGAAAGAAAAAAACAAAAAACGAGCAGCAGCGAGAACACGCATTTTCCTAGCCAGAAAGGACATTCATTGAACAAAAAAATATACAACAAAAAAAACACGAATATCTGGCTAAAACAAGCCGAATTCCTGTCTCGCCCCCCTTCCACCTGACCCCCCCCAATTCAGATGAAAGTTAACAAGGCATCAAATAACAGGCGAGTGCCTTAAAAGCAAAAAGGGTATCCTAGCGACGACCCAAGCATCAGGATATATGAGGCCACTGAATGTCCAACAACGGAGCCAGGAACAAAAAATTCCAAAAAAAAAAAAACAAAAAATGAAAACGTAGCTTAAAATGAAAAACTGAAATGCGGGGGAATCGGGGGCAATCGGGGGAGTGGGACTGTAGGCGTAGCCAGCTTATGCTTGAAATATACCTGAGAGGACACATAGAACACACGTGTGTGTGTGTGTCACATGTGGCATGTACCGCCTACAGCCGCAACAAAAAAAACAAGACTCTCGAATACTTCGTCTCAATCAGAACTCAACAGCACTACAAAAAAAAAGCAAAAAATAAAACAGAAAAAAGAAGCTAAACGACAACTTCAAATTGAATGCTAAGCGACTAAAGAATCACCTGTAAAAGTTTCGATAACACCCTAAAAATGAGAGCAGAATCGTATCGTATTTCAGTTCAGGTTCCGGTACGTAAAGTTAAAAGTTCCTAATATGGAATAAATACAATGGTTACTGGAACTGGCTCTCAAGAAAGTTGAATTTTGGTTCCGGTTATAGATCTGAGCTACGATTCAAGATGCAGTTCAGTTTGACATATATAAACTGCAACATATTGAACAACTTTTTAATATTTGTCTAATAAACATATATAAATTACCATAATAAATGATACGATCTTTAACGCATCATAAAATTCATAATATGTTGTATCCTTTAAAAAAACATAATTCTTCTGTTAAAAATACCCCATTTGTGTTATCATACAAAAGGACATTCACACACACTCATATATGCATCCATAAACAGACACACACACACACACACAGACACACACACACTCCAAACTGTCTAAATGAACGCCATCAAAGACACTTGAAAATCTTGAGCAGCAGTTCTTTTCTCTCTTCCCCCTTTCCCCTCCCCCTTCCCCACAAGAAAATGCAGACAGAGGAGTGCATTACTCGCACATATAGTCCTACTTGGGAGTAGTCTTAGAAATTCATTAAAAAGATGTCATCGGCTATAAAAATAAAACCGTACAAAAAATATGTCGAGTCGAGTCGAGTTAATTTGTCGTTTGACTTCCTGTCAGCTGCCGGCGGCCAAAGCCATTTATCACACATGCAACGCGAGTCCTGCATGCCGATGATCAGCCAGCAAGGAGCACCCCAAAGCCAAGATAGTATTCAAATTTAAACTCTAGTTAGTCCAGCCAAAGACTGTATCGCTATAGTCTCTTGGGATCGACAAGAGTTAGTCCAATGTGACAGTGATTCTCAAACCAACTTATTAGACTATATCTTGTCTATTTCAATGTGTGACCAAGGTCCATAGAATATATAGAGTCCATACCTCAAAATGTGACCAAAGACTATCAAAATATTGTCTATGTAGACTATAGTCCATATACTCATATAGTCTATAATCTTTGGTCATTCATTCAGTTATCGGAAATTTACTCTAATCGGTTGGTTTGAGAGTCACTGCTCTCACTTAAACAATATATATATATATATATATATATATATATATATATCCCTTGTGACATTTGCATATTTCACACGCTACTCAAATTGTTGCAATGCCCGCACTTCATTAATAACCCAAACATATCCTGTGGCACTTGAAGAGCTCTCTCTCCCTCTCTCTCTCTGGGGCAAGGTGTCCAATTGTTTTTGGGCATCCAGCTGCAGCTGATCCTTTGACACATCCTGTTTCCTCTCAGCTCTTCTAATCAGCACTCGTAAATATTTTGAGCAGATCGATTCATTTACAAGTTTTAAATTACCCACAAAGTCATTTATCAAAAGTGCTTGCCCCATTTTCATTGGTTGCACGCTCGTCACACATACAAAAGGGTTAACGCCACAGGACAACCCTCAAACGCAACCCTTAATGAAAGCTTGCCTTGCCAAGCATCTTTTTCAATGGCCGTTGAATTCATTATTTTGTTTACCTTGCACCACAGGCGATTAAAGCATTGTGTGGCAAGCACTGCGGCACTTTCGGCTTTTCCACTTGGCTGCATTGCATTAAGCTCCGGCTGTTTTTTCTTCCTCTTTTTCAACGGTTTTTAATTGCGCCAAATATTTTGGTGTTTTGTGTTTGGTTTTTGTGGGTTGTGATTTGCCAAGTGCTCCCATTTTGTATTCTTGCCGCTGCTTTTGTTTTGTCTCGCTCTGTAAGCCGCTCGCTTAGGCACCTTGCCACAATGTTGCATGCACCCTTTCGTCTCTCATTTCTCATTTCTCAATCCTCAACGCACTTTGTCGGCTTCGGGGATTTGCGTTAAATCGCTTTGTTTTGTAGGTGTTTCGGATTTTGAGGATTTCTCAGCGCTCTTTCACTTTGATGTGT